CATTCCTCTGTGTAATGCCATACTTACACAGATGCCCCATAATCTGCCAGTTATGCTGATGTGACCACCATTACAGGTATCTTAACTCAATAGTTAGTAACAGTTGCTGTAATATGAATATTACATAGATGATTATCCAAATTTTTGTCATTGATGAAATTTGAACATCCAATCTACTACTTGGAGGGTTGATAACCTGACCACTTTATTAGGTCACTACACTCCTCAGTATAACTATTTAAAATCTGTATTTTTCTATAAGTTAATATAGATTTTATAATATAAAAATTAATATTCTATATAATTTATTTTTTGTCAATTTGGTTTCTTTTTCTAGCACCTAGTCCAATTGGCAAATTACAGAATATCTATATAATTTTGATTATATATAAAAATACAAACCAATACTAAATAGTGCAAATTCAAGATAAGTTCTTGTAATTATATAAATTTATAAATTTGAAAAAACTAAAACCTATTTAAGAAAATTTAAGTAAATAAGTAATATAAATTTTTGACAGTATTACTATAAAAGCTAAATTTAAAAATAAATACTATTAAAGGGTGTGGCAACTTAGTGAAATAGATAAGTTGTCAACTTCCAAGTAGTAGCCAGTGAGTTCAAATCCTACTAATAGTAAAAATTTAGATAATCATTTATGTAATATATAGATGATATTATGGCAATAACATTTTGTTAATCAGTTGGAATAAGATATCTGTAACATGGTCACATTACAGGTTATAGAGTATTTGCACAATATTAGAGTTATACAGAAAAATGCAAATTGGCATCAGGTGGTGCAAACACAAGATAAGTTCTCATAGCCATGTAAATCTGTAAACTAGAAAACTGGAGTCTACTTGGAAAGACCTAAGTAAAGAGGTAGCACAGATTTTTGACAGTACTACTATAAAGGCTAGACCTAGTAAACAGATACCAATATAGAAGGAATCAAGCAAACAAGAATCTTGGATAAGAGATACTACCAATCAGGCCATCAGAAGTCTCGAACTAGAAGAAAAGAACTTTGAAAGGCAGACCCTAAGATATCAGAAATAGGTCATAGTCCTATCAGGCTATCTGAATTAGGAATCTGAGATCAGAAGCAAAGATATACTACAAGTACTAGGGATATATTATGAAGTCAATACTGGAATTTAGATGAACTTTACAAGGACAAGCCTTGTTAGCAAAGATTAAATATAGGTAATTAGTTAGCAGAAGAGCCTCTAAAGCTCTACAGTCAGGTAATATACTCTGAAATGTGTAACAGCTTGACAGATGTACAAACAGAAAGGTTAGGATTAGGTTAAATAGCATCTAACTAGGTGTATAAAAACTTGTACACTATCTGCTAATGTAGTATAAGAGTAATCTTATACAAGTTATATAATCATAATTGAATTTATAATAAAAACAGTAGTTGCTAATAACTAATGGCCTTAGCAAAAGCAAAAAAAAAACAAATACTAATATAAGAAAATTAAACAAACAAGAACCTCTAAATAAAGAATATTATCAACTAGACTGACAGATTAAACTAAAAAAAAAAATATTAGATTGAACTTGATATACTAAAAACAGATTATAATTTTTTTAAACTATCTAAATTAAGATTTAAAGACAAAATAGAAGTATACTAAAGTACTAAGAATATGCTATAAAATAAGTACTAAGATACAAATAAACTTTATAAAAACAAGTTTTTGTTAATGATTAATGATATATAAAGTAAATAGGTAGTTAATAAAAAGAACTTATTGGCAGATATCATGCTTTGAAATATATAATAACCTAAGAACTAGTTCAAAAAAAAATATAATTTTTTTTTTTTAACTTTGGCAGCCTTGCCGTAAACCTTTATTAAGATTCTTGTATATATGTTACATACATTTTAATTTAAATTTCTGGTTCGACATCCTCTGGCTGCTTTTTTGAGTACCCAAAGGCGGTCTGCCGCATTGGTTGGAGATGAACTTGAATCCAGGAGCTGTACTAGACTAGCCGATAAGGCCATATATAAATGGCCTTAATCAAACAAAAATATAATACTGCTTAAATAATATATTAGTTAAATATATATAAAAATTTAGTAGTAGTTAAATAATTAATAAAGCAAATAATTAAAAAGTTTAAATAGATAATTTTTTAGTAGATTGTAAGTATAATATCTAGTATAAAACTCTAAAGTAAACTATTTAGTAGGTAACCAAAAATTATATATATAATTAGCTATACTCTTATTTTTGTAAAAATAATTATAAACTAATCTTATATATATTAATAAAATAACTACTATAAAATACAGTCTTTTTTAAAAAAATAATAATATATTAAAATATTATATATACTTTAATACTAAAAAAAATAATATATAGAAAATTTTTTTAAATTTAAACCTTATATATAATATAATTTTTTTATTAACTACAAAACTATATTTTTGATATTTAGAATTTACTTATTACAAATATAAGAATAAATAGTAAAAATTATTTTTTTTAAGTACAATTTTTAGTAATATTGATCTATATTGATAAAAAATATTAAGAATTAAAGAATATGAAAAAAATTAGTTTTTTTTTTAAATATTACTATGTGAAACTATCTCTTAATCTGTAGAGTAGCCAAATTTGACTGCATTAATTTTTATAATAAAATTTTAATAATTAATTTTAATAATATGTTTTCTAAATAAAAAATATTTTTAAAAACCTATTTTACAAACTTTATTAAAAAACTTAATTAATTAAAGTTTAAAAATTATGTAATATTAAGATTTATTATTAAAATATTTTTTAAATTTTTTAAAATTTTATATATTTTTGAAACTAAAAAAAATTTTGTTCTTAAGACAAGTATTAATTTTTATATATAAATTCTTAAACTTATAATAATTAAAATTGTAATCTTTAATATAGACTAAAAAATTGTATTAAAAAGTTTATCATAGATAAACAAAATTTTTTTTAAAAAAATTTTTTTTTAAAATTGTATATTTTTGATCTATAAGTAATCTAATTTTTTTTTATAATTTAAAAATAAATACTGCAAAAAGATATTTCTTATTTTCAAATATTATTATACTAAACTTTATTAAATATTTTAATATTTCAAAAAAGTAAATCAAAGCCAAAAACATATAAAAAAACAGACAAATTTGCTTACAAAAGCCTACAGATTAAGCAATTAACAATATAGTTTTTTATAATAAGGCTTACTTTAAACTTTTTTTTATGTTGTGTGACACATGGTTTTATGAGCCAATCAAATTGAATGTTCGACATGCTGACTGTGACCACCTGACCTTTATACGCATTAAATATCATTTTGTATGAATTTGTAATTCCTTTTTGTATAAATTTGAATATCATTCTTGGGATCAAAAAAGATAATTTTATACATTTATAAATCCTTTTTTATATGATTTTATTTATAATGCATATATTGTAGATTTATCAATAAAAAAAAATTATATTTTGGTTTAAAAAAAAAGACGAATCTAATTGTAAAATGATGTTATACACCTTATTGTAACATATTATTAGTAAAGACAATAAAATAAACATAAATCCATGTACCCAAACTCTAACACTAATTCTAGTGGCAGGTGTTACATGTAACGGCCGTTACGACTACTTTTTTTCTAAAAAGTATACTAGTTTATTCCATGCTTTACTATAGTCAGCCAATCAAATAATTAATTATTTTATGATACTTTTTTATTTAATAAAATTATTCATCTTATTTTATAAACTGATATAGTAAATAATTGAATAAAACTGTTATTGCATACTTCGCATGCAACAACTATATAATATTTGTCAAAATACGGGGAGATTAAAGCAAAGAAAAGAATACCACGATTTAACAATTATTATTTAAGCTATCACTAAGACAAATAAGAAATATAGGAATAAAATGTTTTTGCAATGATTATTCTAGCTCTCTAAATAGAACTACTCTTTGTAGAGATCATCCTTATTAAACTCTAGTGATAAGTTCACATTATAATTAAGACAAATAATCTACACAATGCATCAATACAGATTTATTGGAAAAATTTTATAATTGTTAATATTTCTAGCTCACATCGTTCATATATTTAGGATTTATCCATATCCAGGTTAAAGACCATCGCAAAAATACCAATATAAAAAAAGCAAATTAACCATGTTTGTTTCTCAACATAATCGAGTCATTCCACATCACCAAGTTCTTGTGGCTCCATATGTCCAACCAACATGTCCAACATATCACTCATCGAAACAACACCAATAGGTTTATTTGTATCCTTTTCTTTTACCCAAATTCGATGTACACCAATTGAAACTGCAGAATGCATAACTTCTTCGAGTCTTATATCTTCAGTGCATGCGGCTACTTCTTTAGGATGAGAATATATTTTTTGAAGGAATTCTCTAACTAATTTATTAAAAAGTATAACATAAATTTAGTTATAATAGAGGAAGAAAATAACTGGGTAAATAAAAAATATTACCTGGAAGTAATCCATCGGTAATATTATCAATTGTAAGATACCGAATGTCAGATGCTGAAAGATTATCTACGAGTGTATTGTTAATGTCAACAATTGCGATTGATGAAAGTCTATGAATGGCCTGTTAAATAAAAAGGATGATTATGTAACTGAATTACTAAATTAATTTTCCTAAGTTGAATAACACAATAATTTAACAAACCAGAATAATTTGATATTACCATGATTTTGAATCCTGCGAAAGCTGACATGTCTTGAGTAATCGAGAACGCGAACGTCATTTTTGCCGAAGTTACGGGTAATCTATTCAAATACAGGCAAAAAAAAGTACAGCAACAGATAATATCGATCATAAGTAATACATTGTTGTAATGATGTATGTACCTGTGTGAAGGCTGATTTGGATCATCTTTCATAGTAAAAGAAATCCAATTTCTTTGCATTGCCTTACTAGCCGGTAAATCAAAAGTTTTATTTTGTTTGAAAACTTCATTATTCAACAAAAAATTAATTGCATCCCATTGTGTAAGAATCATCGCTTTTTGAATATCTTCTATATTTTCTTTTTCTTTAGCCATAGAAGCTAAAATTGAATAAACATTTTCCCTCGTTCCCATTGCTTGAAGACCAACAATAAGAGGAGCACTTTTATGGTATATTTTGAAGGAAGCCAAAGCTTTTGGTTCAATAGAATTAATAACTTCAGTGATCTGGAGATCGTAAACGTCTATTAAATCACTTTTAATCTTTTCTCCTAACTCTTTGGTTTGAGATTCTCCATCGACCGATTCATTAGTTAGTACAGGAAAAGAGTAAACTTTACGCAACATTAAGAATCTTACAATATGGACAACATTAACAATGGCAATAAATTTTCCCTTGCTTGGATCATAAATTGGAAGGGAAATAATGTCATGAATTCGTAAAAGATTAAGAATTAAAGAAACTTTATCGGTGGTTCTTGCATAAACAAGAGGTTCAATAGGCTTGCGAGTTTCAGAAATAAGTGCATCGATTTTTAATTTGTGTAAAAAGTCTAAAGTTTGATCAGAAGTAATACGGCGAGAAGAATCCACGATCGGTTTTTGAGTGGCCATTTTTTTTTGCAAGGTGAATTATCAAAGACAAATATCAAAGAAAACAAAATATTTCTTATAAATTCAATATAAATTATTGCGTAAAAATTGCATATGGTTTTTGCATACCTACATATAATTGATATGGCGTAAAAATGACATACAATTTTTTTTTACTAGAAAATGTCGTAAGTTATATCGAGAAATACAATAATCCTTACGATCCTTAACATGATCACTATTTTTCATATCACCAGATTTTTAGGTTGTAGTTTATTTGTTATGCATAATAGCGATCCTGGTTGATCGAACCAGGCACAAAATTTCCGGGTGATGTAATATGCCTTTTTTAGATGCAAACCTATAAACTACAGCCAGAATATATATTATTATAAAAAACGGAAAATTTCCGTCTGTTGAAAAAATCGGGCATTTTACAATAAGATTTGTGCCCTGGATCAAACTACCCTTTTTATTATTGTTTAATGTACATCGATAGCTATGGTGCAAATAATCTAAAGATGAATGTTTGAAAGTTCGTAAAAACGAAAGCGCAATTTTATAGTCTTAAATAAGGCCTACAAGGTTACGCTTTTTATTTTTAAGAAATTTCATTATTCTTTGAGGAGATACCGTGCGGGACAGCTTAAGATATCCAATTTTAATTCATGTTATAAAAACGTTATAAATTAATAAAAAATCACTGAACCAAAAAACCCTCTTCCAAATTAATCGTTCATTTTAAACATTATTATAACAGTTTAAACTTTGTCTATTTTATATATACGTATCTATATGTATATTTTTGAGTTACATTATTTTGACCAATCAAAATTAATTATAAAATTCCAAATTTGTCGTTATTTTCAGTCATGCGATTTAGAAATGATCTGCAATATACTAAGAGATTTTTTTTAAACTCGATTTATATTTTAAAAAAGCATTTTTTATTATCTAAATATAACAATCAGTTTTAAAAAAACCTTTAAAATATTCTTGCAAAAGTTATTTTATGAATATGTAGTCTAGGAATCCGTGGGGGTTTAAAGGGCGGTTGTGTGCTAAATAATGTCAGCCAATGATTGGCGCAAATTTTGCACCATAGAAATTTTCAATTTAAGATCTTTTACCAAAAATAGAAATGATCCGTGTTACACGAATTTGACGCTTATTTAATACGTATTAATATAAAAGTTGATATCCACAAAGGCTAATAATCGGCAAAGTGCTGTTTGGTTGATTCACATCACTTCAAAATGTGTCATTTTGCATGGCTAATACATGTAACATATACATACTTGTTGTCCGAAGTGTAGCGGGGGACATTTAATGTTCAGTCACGGGGATACAAAAGTTCTATTTTTGATGCATTCTTGATTAATTCATTAGATATATTATACTGCTGCATCAAAATTGTAATTTTTAAAATTCTGCTGTCCGCACGCGTGTCTATATTTGTACTTTAGTGTAACAAAAGCATGTATATCACGCGTATTATCATGTGCTTCGGACACACATAAACCTATTAAGTCATAGACAGAAGTTCGTCTGATTGGCTAATAAATTCAATTTAATTTTACATTATTTATATAGTTTAGAGTACTTTTTAAAAAA